GCTGAAGGTAGCTAAACCATCAGAACAATACTAAACATGCTCAATTCCTATCTGGTGGCACATTAGCTGACCACAGTGCCCTTAAATTTGAATTAAGAGGACCACCAAGCATCTTCTTCCATCTCCCTGTTACAGAAATCACTGCCATATCCATATACAAATTGCTGTACAGAATGTCCAGGGATAGTTTCTTCAGGGACAAATGTTGTCGCCTGTTGAACGAGGTGACCTTGCTCGGGTCCCAGGTGTAAGGTTCCTAAAATGGCTGCCATATACACGTCCACTGATAGGAGACGCGGAAGGTATTAAACTGATCAGAACAATACTAAACACACTACAAATAAGGTTTCTCTCCTGTATGGCTCCTCAAATGATGCTTAAGATTAGAAGCGGCTGAAAAGCATTTCACACACAGGTATTAAACTGATAAAAATAGTACTAAACACTACACTCCTATCTGGTGTCACATTAGCTTGACCGCGCAGTGCCCCAAATTTGCAGTAAGAGGACCGACCAAGCCTTTTCTTCCATCCTCCTGTTACAAAAATCAATGCCGTGTACACGACCACTGATAGGAGACGTGGAAGGTATTAAACTGATCAGAACAATACTAAACACACCACTCCTATCTGGTGGCACATTAGCTTGACCGCGCAGTGCCCCAAATTTGCAGTAAGAGGACCGACCAGCCTCTTCTTCCATCTCCCTGTTACAAAAATCAATGCCGTGTACACGACCACTGATAGGAGACGCGGAAGGTATTAAACTGATCAGAACAATACTAAACATCTCCTATCTGGTGGCACATTAGCTTGACCGCGCAGTGCCCCAAATTTGAATTAAGAGGACCGACCAAGCATCTTCTTCCATCTCCCTGTTACAGAAATCACTGCCATATCCATACAAATTGTACAGAATGTCCAGGATAGTTTTCCAGGGACAAATGTTGTCGCCTGTTGAACGAGGTGACCTTGCTCGGGTCCCAGGTGTACGGTTCCTAAAATGGCTGCCATATACACGTCCACTGATAGGAGACGCGGAAGGTATTAAACTGATCAGAACAATACTAAACACACCACAAATAAGGTTTCTCTCCTGTATGGCTCCTCAAATGATGCTTAAGATTAGAAGCGGCTGAAAAGCATTTCTCACACTCAGAACAAAAATATTTTTTTAACATTCTCTCCACTTGAAATCCTAAATGACGCCTTTGGGAAGAGATTAACATAATTAAACACAGGCAGTAAAAATACAGTTTTTAGCCATACACTGTAACTTTAAAACTACACATCCCATCTTCATAATTACATATTTGGAATCAGCACACTTAAAAACATAAACATAAACATAACCAAAAATCAGCCAAATCCATCCAGGGGTTAAAAAGTTTGCTGGAGGTCCCTTTATGACCGACCGCAAGCACATTTTCCTGCCCAAAACAGTTCCATAGATTTGGGCTGTGAGGTCGGTCTATTTCAGGCTGAAAAAAAGACTAAGTCCCATCGCCGAATGGGACTTAGTCCCTGCAGCTGAAATAAGGCTGAAAAAAACGGCTGAAAAAAAGACTAAGTCCCATCGCCGAATGGGACTTAGTCTCTGCAGCCGAAATAATTTCCCATTTACTGAACCAAGTGGGAAATAGCAAGGCAGGCACAAAGGGTTTGCACCAGGTCTGGGGACACAGGGGACACCGTCTTAAAGGGGCCGTGTCCCCAACAAGTCTGGGGACACGGCCTTAAAGGGGCAGTGTCCCAATCTTCCTGATGTCCCAAGAAAGGTGTTTAAAGGGCCAGCACCAGTCACATAAAGAGTCCATAAGCCCCAATATGCCCACCGACAGTCTTAAAGGGCCATACACACCAAATAAAAGTGCATACATTTTCATAATCTCCCAGGGGCCATAGTCATGCGGGAGGAGGCTGGCAAAGAGGCTTCTCCACAACCCAGGGAAACAGGGCAATTTGCCATTTAAAGGGCCCGTTACAAATAGCAGTTTGTAACAAGGTGTCAATCCATATCTGCCAAGTGACCCGATGTAGGGGGAACAGTCCCTATTCTGCTCTGTGTCCGTGTGCATCAGGGGCTCTGAGGACAGGTGTCAATCCATATGTCAAGGTGTCACTATGTCATATGTCAGGTGTCAATCCATATTCATTGTGATTTAGGAATGTTAGGTGATTTCTGCCCTTTATGGATTAAAACCAGACTCTGTATCAACCGTGTAATTTTCCATGGGAGTTTTGCCATGGATCCCCCTCCGGCATGCCACAGTCCAGGTGTTAGTCCCCTTGAAACAACTTTTCCATCCCTATTGTGGCCAGAAAGAGTCCCTGTGTGTTTTAAAATTCGCCTCCCCATTGAAGTCAATGGCGTTTCGGGCGGTTCGCCGGTATACTCTTAACTATACTAGTCAGCTGTGGCCCAGAGTAGCAATATATATGTATATATATATATATGTACATATATGCAAAGTGCATATATGAATATATATGTAAAGTGCTGCAGAATTTGTTGGCGCTATATAAATAAAAATTAATAATAATAATAATATTTGCTCACTATATATATGTACATAGCCCTGGCACCTTACATCTGTATTGGCTCTAGCCCCTAATGGTGGCCCTGTATACGTATACTGTAAGACTAACATTTAAGTATATCTAAACTGTTAAATAAATAAATGTCTCCAGAACCCAACAAATATTTTTCCCTAATACATGTTTTAGTAATATTTAGTGCCTGGATAATATTTTAGATATTACATTTGGGTTAGATGATATAGGGTTGAGAGTTAATTAGGGTTTTTTAAGAGGTTGAGATAGGTTTCTTTAACTCCTTCACTACCAAATAATTGTTATTTAAAAAAAAAAAAAACATTATCATGATGGATTTATGGGGTTCATCAATGTCTGGATATTGCCATTAAGGCCCTGAACTTGCCAAATTTGCTCTGGATTTGAGCTGGTCTGATCTCCACTCATTGGTTGAAATCAAGGCCAAAATGCAGCAAATCCTGACTCAGAAAAATTAAATCCAAACTTGAATAAAATAAAAAAATGAACAGTATATGCCTGCTGGCAGATCCAGCAGCCAGTGGGCAAATCGTTAAAATCCCTTAGCGGCACAAGGGTTACTTATGAGGTGGCCTGCCTGGCATTAAAAAGGTTAAAAAAAAATTATTATTATTAAAAACCCTGTAAGAGTCAATAATCCAGATAGGGGCATGTATACTAAACATTAAAAACTAGCTAAATGCACCCAATGCTGTCCAGTTTCTAGTGAATGCCCCATTCTGTGCCCTCACCTTGGGGCTACTTTAAATTTTAAGGGGGGGACCTATTGCCTCCCCTAGCCCCCACCCATCAACCCTAATATATAAAAAAAAAATAGGGGGAGGAGGGGAGAGGGGTAGTGTCTCCTTCCCTCACCCATGTAGGCAGAGGGGGATCCTAATATGTATAATAAGGGGGGCCTAGTGTCCCTTCCCATGGCCCCCATCCATGATGGCACCCATGTTGCCCTAATTAATTACAAAGTATCGAGACTGGACATGCTATTGTCCAACCCCCAAAGAAGAATAAGTTCCTCCTATTCATGGTCCAAAGTCCCATAACGACTTTCTTATATAAATTCTCTACTTATCCCCCTTAACCATAATAATAGTGAGAAAGGGACCAAAAAAAATGTAAAACCTGTAATTATTCTTTTCTTTAGCCCCCAATGCCACTAATTAAAATAAAACATTTTGAATTCACAAAAAAAAACCAGAAAAAATAAAACTACAAACTACAAAACTGAATCCATCTTCAACCATGAATGTCTCATCGCAGAATGAGCGCTCCTAGCAGGGATAGCCCTATTCTAGGCTTCCCATGTTATGACAGGTCTCAAAAAGTGTTGGAAAATTTCAGACCGCCCGAATCTTTACTCCAAATGGCTTTAATAAATATTACAATTACCAATGTAGTCAGCCTTTAGTCATTTTCACTGGATTTTGTCACTGGATCTTGCGACCAAGCCCAATGTTTAATGAATAATGCTGATAATCTGCCATTTTACGCATAGCCGAGTTTCTCATCTTTTGAGCCCTCTCGATGTGGATTAAATTATCCAAGCATTAGCTGAGCAGTCAAATATTCTCAGACGAAATCCCTCCCAAATATTCTCATTAGAAATCTCTGTCACTATTCCTTTCTTAATATTTTGCTATCTTCTGTAAACATTTTAATTCACAGCACATGTTTTATTTTTTATTTTTAGGTGTGTGTCGCAATGGAGGTACCTTTACTGAAATGAAATGCATTTGTCTGGAACAGTTTTATGGGCCCTTGTGTGAGAGCTTGGTAGACAGAGTTCAGATCGGTGGTAAGTGTTTAAAGTTAATGGGTCGATGGATTAGCCAAAGTAAGAACTTTGAAACTGATTATACAAAGGTAACTTTTTTAATCTGGAAACAAGATAATTGAAAAAAAATCACATTGAGATGAAAATTAAAAAATAACCTGGCCCTGAATTAACAGCTGGTCTTGTATCTCTCTTCTAGCAGATAAAGTTAATACCACTGTGGCAGTAAACTTGAGAATCACTAGCATTACTTTTACAATTGGCTTGAGTGACAACACTTCGAAAGAATACCAAGAATTTGAAGTGAATTTTAAATTAGAGGTGAGAATGTGATCAATCAAAGTAAGTGAATAGTTTAGGAATCTATACATCAGATGCACGATATAACCTTCCACCTCTCCCTCATCTTTGTTACAGATGAAGGGATTCTATAAAGATCTGCCTGGATATAAAGATGTGATAATCATTCAGTTGAGGTAGGTTATCCTAAACACAATGATGTATAAATAATAAGATGGATAGGATGTTCTGTGGTACCTGAAATAGGGTAAATAATGAAACTTACACATTTAATTATATGAATATTTTTTTCATATTTTACAGAGATATTAATGGGATAAAGAGTTTTAGAAACTATATGGTATCTCTTAAACTGCAAAAATATGCTAAATTAAATATTCTGCCAAAATAGTCCAATTTACCTCTCCTTTTAGTAAAATGAAAAGAAACAATTCCTTTTATAAGCAGTGTGAAGTGCCCAAGTGTATATGTATATATCATTATTTATTTATCCACCTGACTTCAGGTGGAAGGGTTTTTTAATATTTTTTTCCCCACCATACCTTTCTTGGTATCAATCTGTGTACAGCCTGGATTGACTATAAGAAAGCCTATGACACAATGCCCCACAGATGGATACTGGAATGCTTGGCTCTATACAAGGTCCCCAAGACAATACGAGCCTTCATCAAGAACTTCAAATGTGGCATATACCAAGGTGATGTGCTTTCCCCAAATACTGTTCTGCATAGACCTCAAACCCTTCACTTATCAAGAACAGTGGATACAGATATAGTTTCAAGAGTGAAGCTACCATCAGCCACCTACTCTACATGGATGACATCAAGCCGTATGCCAAGAATGAATGGGACATTGACTCACTGATCCACCTAGGATCAACTGATCCACCTAGGATATACTGCAAGGACATCAGAAGGTCATTCAGACTAGATAAGTGTGGGCTGATGATGGCAAAAAGAGGACAGAAGGAACTCAAGTACAAGAAGGCCAAACACAAAATGGAGAGATACAAATACTTGTGGGTACTACAAACACATGGCACTCAAGAGGAAGAGGCAAGGAGGATAGCAAAATGCAAGTCCCTTCAGAGAGTCAGACAAGTCCTGAAGTCCCAGCAAGACCAAGATTCACCAGTCATCAGGTACCCAGCTGAATGACCTGGAGAAGAGGAGAACTGGTCACCATGGATGTCAAGAAATGGAAACTATTCACTTTGAATGGAGGATTCCACCCGCAAACCAGCAATCTCTCTCTTTCTCTCTCTCTCTCTCTCTAATATATATATAGAAAGTCAACCAAACCTTGGACAATTTTAGGAATAACGATTGCACAAATAAATCAAGTGGTTGTAAGTATTTGGTAAATAAAGTGTGCATTGCTGGACATGTAGACTGTGTTTCTTGTTCTAATATGAGATATATATTGTGATGGACCGCCTGGCACCCAGTACCTCCATCAATCACTGATTCCTATTACTTGCGAGCATCATAAGCACTGCACTGGAAGACCATAACCACCGTAAACCCCACAACCTGCCACAACTTGGCTGGGGACTCGCTGTCCTCCACCCACCCTTACCCTGGAGCTTGTTCCCCTCATCCAGACAAATTATTTCACTGAACAGTGCCCTTCTAAATTGTATAGAACCGAACGCAGGCGATGATGGAAGTCCAGCGGTGTTCGGGAGTTTCTGTGTCCGATTTTAGTTCCATGAGATTCATGTCCAAACACTGCTGCCTGTGTTTATGCGAACAAGATGGCCACAACCTTGTGGTTGTCCATAGGAATTGTGGCCACCCAGTTGAACAATTAGAACACTGCAGTGAAAACCGTCCCAAGGTGTTAATGGGTGTTAACAAGCTCCCAGGGTGGTCCCAGATTTGTGCGGTTGTTAAGTAGTCAAACGGGACAATGTTAGAATGCAATCTACCGAACAGAATAGCAAAAAGGTACGAACAAGGTCTTTTATGAGCCTTTTTGCATGGCCCATAGTCCTGAGGCAGGAGGTTGAACACGTGACGAGGCTCAGTTTGTCAATATATATATATATATATATATATATATATATATATAGAGAGAGAGAGAGAGAGAGAGAGAGAGAGAGAGAGAGAGAGAGAATATAAATTATGTTAGCCCTCACCATCTTTAAAAGTTAAAACCAGTTCTTTATTATCCCACATGGATCATCACATTACTTTGCAGATGCTTCTAAACACAATCCCAGCAACTTGGTTTTGTCTCTCGGTGTTCCTGCTAACATCTTGCAAACATCCACTGTGTGCTAGATTGTCTCAGACAATATATATACAGTTGTGCTCAAAAGTCTGAATACCCTAGCAGACATTTTGACATTGATTTTAAAAATATGACTGATCATGCAAAAAAATGTATTTTATTGAATGATATTGATCATATGAAGTCATTTTTATCACATGGTTGTTTGGCTCCTTTTTTAAATCATAATGATAACATAAATCACCCAAATGCCTGATCAAAAGTTTACATACCCCTGAATGTTTAGCCTTGTTACAGACACACAAGGTGACACACACAGGTTAAATTGGCAATTAAATGTTAATTTCCCACACCTGTGACTTTTTAAGTTGCAATTAGTGTCTGCTTATACATAGTCAATGATTTTGTTAGCTCTTACGTGGATGCACTGAGCAGGATAGATACTGAGCCATGGGGAGCAGAAAAGACCTGTCAAAATATCTGTGTAACAAGGTAATGGAACTTTATAAATATGAAAAAGGATATAAAACGATATCCAAAGCCTTGCAAATGCCAGTCAAAACTGTTCAATCACTTATTAAGAAGTGGAAGATTCAGGGATCTCTTGATACCAAGCCAAGGCCAGGTAGACAAAAAAAGATTTTAGTCACAACTGCCAGAAGAATTGCTTGGGATACAAAGAAAAACCCACAGGTAACCTCATGAGAAATGCAGGGTGCTCTGGAAAAAGACGGTGTGGTTGTTTCAAGGAGCACAATACGACGATACTTGAACCAAAATGAGCTGCATGGTCAAGTTGCCTTTACTGCACCAATGTCACAAAAAGTCCTGGTTACAATATCCCCGACAACACCTTGATATGCCTCACAGCTTCTGGCACACTGTAATTTGGAATGACAACCATATATATATATATATATCAGTAAATATTTATTTGGGGTTTATCCTTTTACCTTATTTTTTACATTTTACCAGACTTTGTTTATTTCTTGCAGCCAGGGCTCTGTCTATGTTGACCACGAGGTGATTGTTGAGGCTGAATATAGTGAAAATAACTCTGTGATTAAACAGTATGAGGAGATACTTCAGAAAGTTAACCAAACTTTGGAAAATTCAAGAAATATCGATTGCACAGGTGAATCAAATGAACGCTAGTATTTGGTAAATAAAGTGTGCATTGCTGGACATGCAGAGTGTGTTCCTTGTTCTAATATGAGACATTTTAGATTTATCTGCATTCAAACATGAAAACAAGCATGTGCTACTTTGTATTTTGCATAGCCAGACGTTGCAGGTGTGGGTAACGTAATGAGATGTAACTTTGTCAAATTTACCATGTATTCTTGGGCATTAATACAATTTTGCGGTTGATGGACAGCATATAAAAAGAGTAGAAACGAACACAAGGACGTATATATAAAAACCCAAAGGTGATATATACAAATAGAGGGTGGTTGAGAGCAATACAACCTGAATATGGCTGAAAATGAACGTTGAATCTATAAAATAGCAAAATACAAAATATAGTGAAGTAAGTTAGGCAAAATTGGATTTGCACGTGGTAGAAAACTTACAAGAAGGGAGTAGTAATCACGCCTGTCATCCTGTCAGGGGTACTTTCCACATTGGAGACCGAATATATATGGCGAGGACTGACAATATCACTTTTTCTTCAGCTCAGGAATAAAATATCCCTTTTTCCTTCAGCTCAGGAACAAAAGAAAAAATATAGATAGTGCAGATTGTATAAAAATAACAAAATTTATTCCAAATATTGCACTTACAAGAAATCAGAAGTAAGACAGCATATCTCCATAATGAAGTAATGGCCGGGTCTCCAGGTGAAATAGAGAGAGATCCCAAAATGGAGGTACACAAAATTAAAAAAATATAAAATAAAATAAATAAAAATAACAAATGGACTATAATAACAGCTGTATATTAGCATAAAAAGTCCAAAAGTAGTATCCAACGCGTTTCGTCACTATGGTGACTTCCTCAGGGATATCCCTGAGGAAGTCACCATAGTGACGAAACGCGTCGGATACTACTGACAGGATGACAGGCGTGATTACTACTCCCTTCTTGTAAGTTTTCTAGTGAGGAAGTCACCATAGTGACGAAACGCGTCGGATACTACTTTTGGACTTTTTATGCTAATATACAGCTGTTATTATAGTCCATTTGTTATTTTTATTTATTTTATTTTATATTTTTTTAATTTTGTGTACCTCCATTTTGGGATCTCTCTCTACTTTCACCTGGAGACCCGGCCATTACTTCATTATGGAGATATGCTGTCTTACTTCTGATTTCTTGTAAGTGCAATATTTGGAATAAATTTTGTTATTTTTATACAATCTGCACTATCTATATTTTTTCTTTTGTTCCTGAGCTGAAGGAAAAAGGGATATTTTATTCCTGAGCTGAAGAAAAAGTGATATTGTCAGTCCTCGCCATATATATTCGGTCTCCAATGTGGAAAGTACCCCTGACAGGATGACAGGCGTGATTACTACTCCCTTCTTGTAAGTTTTCTACCACGTGCAAATCCAATTTTGCCTAACTTACTTCACTATATTTTGTATTTTGCTATTTTATAGATTCAACGTTCATTTTCAGCCATATTCAGGTTGTATTGCTCTCAACCACCCTCTATTTGTATATATCACCTTTGGGTTTTTATATATACGTCCTTGTGTTCATTCTTTATAGTGTGTGTGTGAGGTACACTTCTCTGAGGGTGTGTTTTTCTAGTGTATCATATAGTAAGCATATCCTTTTTTGTATAAAAAGAGTAGACCTTACTAATATCCCTTACAATCCATGAAATGACTGCATGTTAAAGTGATACATTCATTTTCCTGGGGGGACATTCACATCTCTCGTAGTTTGAGTATATGTATCATGAAGTGATCAGCTATTTTGGCCATAAATTTGAAATTCACTTTGATTTCCAAAAGTTTTCCAATTTAGTGAATAACCCTGTATAAATAAGTGCTACCTATGTTTAATACTATGAATTAAAAAAAGGTTTCACATTGAAAAAATTACTATAGCGTACCCTTCATTGCAATAAAAAAAAAACAACAACTTTCATCTATATATTGTACAAGCAGAACTGAACAGATTTCTCTAAAATAAGAGATGAAAAAACAACCCTTTCCATTTCCATTTCTGTGCATATTGGCACAGAGATAAAAAGGCTGTGCTCTGAATGTCTGTTTTTAGGGCATGCCTCCATTTTGAGTTCACCCTGAGGGAAAGCAATACTTGAAATAGGAAGGAGGGAGAGGCTCTGTGTATAAGGGTCAGTAGCAGCAGACAAAAAGTCAGTATGATTTATTTCAGGAGCTTTGGGCAGACAATCTGAGAATGGAGAGGCTGAGGGAGAAAAGATAAGGTTTATTTACATACCATTAAAGGACCACTCTAGGCACCCAGACCACTTCAGCTTAATGATCTGGGTGCCAGCTTAATGGTCTGGGTGCCAGGTCCCTCAAAGATTAACCCTTTTTTTTAATAAACATAGCAGTTTCAGAGAAACTGCTATGTTTATATTAGGGTTAATCCAGCCTCCAAAGCCTCTAGTGGCTGTCTCATTGAAAGCCGCTAGAGGCGTTTGCGTGCTTCTCACTGTGAAAATCACAGTGAGAAGACGCCAGCGTCCATAGGAAAGCTTTGTAAATGCTTTCCTATGAACTGGCTGAATGCGCGCGCAGCTCCTGCCGTGCATGCGCATTCAGCCGAAGAGGAGGATCGGAGGCGGAGAGGAGGAGGAGAGCTCCCCGCCCGGCACTGGAGAAAGAGGTAAGTTTAACCCCTTTCCTCTCCCCAGAGCCCGGCGGGAGGGGGACCCTGAGGGTGGGGGCACCCTCAGGGCACTATAATGCCAGGAAAACCAGTATGTTTTCCTGGTACTATAGTGGTCCTTTAAGCCAACATAAAGTGTTGGAGACTTTCACCTGTTATGGAATGCAAGATTGTGCTTTCCAAACAGGGGATATAAAGGAGAGCTGAAAACATGTTTGGTGCACTCAGCATGAGACAGGAACAATGGATAGAAAATAAAATATGAGCTTTTAATAGTATAAAGGGAAGAAACACTTAATTGTAAAACATGAGTCAAGGCAGAAGGTTAGAAAACTGCCAAGCTAAATCTGTCATGCCAGGTTCAATTTAAGCTACTGATAAGGTGGAAAAGAAAAAGAAAGTTGTTGAAGTATGCCTTGGTCCAAACATGATTGAACACCACTATTTTTGACCATAACATGAAAAACAAAAATTGCCTTTTAAAAAACATATGTATATATTTATTGATTTATTCAGGAGATTTTGTTTCCAACTAACAGAAATATCCACTAAAATACGTATTTTAGGGTATTAAAAGGGAATCAGAAAATTTAATTTTTTTCTGTTTTGACCTAAGTTCAAAAATGTGCTTTCTGTTCAGGCTGAATTCTTGATAATTCATACTTCAGTGAATAACACTCAATTGTCTCGCCCTTCTACGTTGGGTGCTTGGAAATGCATCAGTGCTGTTTATCTTCACCTTTTTACTTTCTTTTTATTGCAGCAAAACTGTGTATTGACGTAGAAAACAGCAAATTAACTGCGGTTCGTCCAAAAAGTGAACAAGGTATGTGACTGTTAGTTCTATTTTTCAATGTAACATTTCACATAAATCAGCTAAAAAGGTGACTAGGAATGGCTCTCAGAACTTGTGTAAAACCTTTTAAATAATGTATTTTGTGCAAATTGCCTTTTGTTATATAAGAGCAAAATATAAGAGCAATAATATAATAAATAAGTAGAGTGATATTTCATGCAGCAACCAACAGTGCTAGGAATCCACAAGCAAACTAACATTAAACAACAATAAAAATATTGGTACACACACAGTTATAAGCTGTATACTGGACATAACATTCTAACATTCTGTAACACACATGTTTTAGTGGTATAAGGTAAACGTATACCTATAGTAGAGCGCTAAAGTGCAAAAAATGCCAATGTGTAAAATCAACAATATCAAACAGATCAAATGTCTAGGTAGATATTGAGCTCACCTTGTATAGAGCCTAAATTCTGGCTCTAAGGCAGTGATGGCGAACCTTTTTGAGCCATTCTAATTAAGTTTTGACCAATCAGCCACGAGTTGATTCCCCAAAATAGTTACATAGAAAACAAGGCGATGACCGGACATCTTTCAGGGGTGCTCTTACGAATACCGACAAATGCTCCCCCTGGCTGTTAGGGAGCAGATGTACATGCCTCCCAAACGCCATTCTCCTAACTGTTCGAGAAGTTGGATGGGCAGTGGTACCAGTTTCCCAGGTGTTCAGGGGGTCGCGTAGCAGACAAACAGTTCCACACATTCGAAGACCAAGTACCACTACCTGCAATCGGGAGGCAAAATGGTCACCAGTTCTTGGAGCATGTTTATTTGGTTATATGAACAGCGGCCACATAGGGAAGCACTTTAGCAAATTGCTCATTTGTGGTTAACAGCCAGGGGTGGTCGGTGATTAAGGAGTGTGAACAAGGGGACTACACCGAGTTGGTTCGGTAAACCAGTGGGGGAGTGTACAGCCGAACAGCAGTAATAAAAGTTTATTCCACAAATTCATTTTGCTACAATAGGCGACCATGTGACTGTTAAAAATAGAGGATTCCTGGGACTGGTTTGCAGCTGACTGAAGAAGCTCAGGAGGAGTTAAAGGTGTTTTGGCTGGCAAGGACTTTCTATACAAGTGTGGACAGTATTTTATATCTTTGTTTTAATATTATTATTTTTTTGCTTTTGTTAATAAATTTCTATAGTATATTAAGAGTCTTCTACCACCGGAACTTAGGCTCTAAACAAGGTGAGCTCAATACCTACCTCAACATTTTATCTGTTCTATATTGATGATTTCACACATTGGTGGCCCTGTTCTTTTTTTGGGGAGTTTATATTCCATTGAAGGAGAGGTGTGATGCTGCCCTAAGAGCATGACTGTGATCAGTGGCGTATTTAGGATTTGTGCTGCCCTAGGCAGGATGGTGCTCGGGCACCCCCTACCCCCAATAAAAATTTTCCCCATCCCTTCCTGTCAAGCTTGCACTTTGACTGACAGATGCTCACTCACTGACGCTCACTCACTGACATAAGCACACTCACTGATAGATGCATACACTCATTGACAGATACACACTCACTCTCATAAACACTGACAAACAATGACATACACACACTCACTGATTTGACACACTGATAGACAGACACACACTATTTGTCGGACAAACACTGACAGACTCACACTCACTGTCAGACTCACTGACAGACGCACGCATGCACTCACGGACCAACACACACACACATTCACTCACAGACGCACACACATACACACTTACAGACACAAACATACACACACACACAGACACACACATTCATTCATAGACACAACCACACATTTCCACCAACACACCAACAAATTTTTTTTTACGTTTTATTTGAAATCCACCCAGCCTCCCTGGGAGATCTGGAGTGGATTGCTTACCTGCGGTCCAGTGGGGCTGCTGGTCGGGCAGGCAGGGGGCGCACAGGCTGATTAGGCGGCGAGGGAGCTTTAATCTTCCTGCTCAGCTCCCTTGCGTTCCGCTAAGTGATGCCAGGAACCAGTCTGATGTCATATTCTGGCTCTCGGGTTCATTAAAGGACCACTTTAGGCACCCAGACCACTTCAGCTCAATGAAGTGGTCTGGGTGCAAGGTCCATCTAGGGCAGTGATGGCAAACCTTTTTTGAGCTCGAGTGCCCAAACCACAATACATGCCAACTTTTTTTCCCTCAAAGTGCCAACATGGCAATTAAACCTGAATACTGAGGTTTACGTTTAGAAAAAACTACTCCTACAGTTAACAACTTTTGTTTTAAAATAAGAACACAACAGAGTTAAATTATACAAATTTTAAATAATGATATAAATTAAGCTTATATTATTAGTATCTCCAACAAATGATGTGGGTGTGTGGGGGTAGGTGTACTGTGTGTGGGGGGTAGGGGATCTCTGTGTGTGGGGGGTAGGGGGGTGGCGTGTGTGGGGGGTAGGGGGGTGCTGTGGGTGTGGGGGTAGGTGTGCTGTGTGTAGGGGGTAGATGTGCTGTGTGTAGTGGGGGTGGGGTGCTGTGTGTAGGGGGTAGGGGTGCTGTGGGTAGGGGTGCTGTGTGTAGGGGGATGGGGTGCTGTGGGTAGGGGGTAGGGTTGCTGTGTGGGGGGTAGGGGTGCTGTGTGTGGGGGTGTGGGTGCTGTGTGTAGGGGGTGTGTGTATGTGTAGTGGTGTGTAGGGGTAGGGGTGCTGGGTGGGTGGGGTGCTGTGGGTAGGGGTGCTGTGTGTAGGGGTAGGGAGTGCTGTGGGTAGGGGGTGCTGTGTAGGGGTAGGGGTGCTGTGGGTAGGGGTGCTGTGTGTAGGGGGTAGGGGTGCTGTGGTTGGGGGTAGGGGTGCTGTGTGTAGGGGGTGCTGTGGGTAGGGGGTAGGGGTGCTGTGGGTGTAGGGGGGTAGGGCTGCTGTGTGGGGGGGGAGGAGTTGAAGATGCATTTTGGGGGATGAAGTCGGAGGAGGGAGGAGAGCTAGAGAAAGGTAAGAATTTAACCCCTTCCTCCCCCTTCAGGTCAGCGAGAATGGGACCCTGAGGGTGGGGGGGACCTAAAGGACCCTATAGTGGTCCTTTAAGCAGCGCGAATGGAGCTGAGCAGGAAGAGCTCAGGTGAGCATGCTCCCTCGCTGCCTGCCGCCCACCTCAGGGGGGATCAAAATTGGCCCGCCGGTCAGCTCTTGAGCCCCCCAGGACACGAGGCAAACAAGGGATCTGCCTGGGCGTTTCGGGGTGGCTTTTTTTACCGCCCCCTACAAAGTGCCGCCCAAGGCAGATGCCTTGTTTGCCTTGTGTAAGATACGTCCCTGACTGTGATACATACGGAGCCAATACATATAGGCTCCACTACATGTGAATGATTTGACCATTTAGGGATATACTATGTACCTGTAATTACCTTTTGCACTATATTTGTGTATTTTTGTCTTTTATGTACTGGATACATCCCCTTGTATATCTGTAGATATATGTACATACATGGGGTTACCCCATTTTTACCTTCTTTTTTTTTTACATTTTAGCATTCCACTATAGGTCTAAGTTTATCTTGTACCACTAGAAGGTGTGTGTTTGTTGTGTTTTGTGGGAAAGAGGGTATCCCACACTTTTGTGTAGAGCTGCTATTCTACTTCACGTTAAGCACTTTTTTATAGGATATGCCCAGTTCTTTAATAGGAGGTTATTCTTTGGATTATAACATTTTGTAAACCTGAAAATAAAAAGCATATAGTGTATTAATGTAAAAAACATTTCCCCAAACAATAACTCTTAATGGATAAACTCATAAGGCTGTGTACATTCATTATAATATAACAATTACAAGATATATTTTCTCTAACGGAATATTCCTTCCTTGCCTTTAAATTAGATTTAAAACTCTTGAAACTACATTCATAGTAACATCATTTCTACCACACATACATTCTCACTCCGTCTTCAATAAGTTTTTATTAAATCGCTTTTTAAACTATATGCACCCCTAAAAACTATTCTAGGTAAGGCAGGTAATATATTCAAGTTATCGTCCGTTTATAAAATCGGCCAAGTTCTCGGAATAATTTATTTTATTTTACAATGAGAAATATTAAAATGAAAGACTAGGGTATTACGTAAAATCATTAAATTCATTATCCTTAATTATTTCTTTCTTTTCTAGCAACTTATATTGTGGGATAATACTAACCTCTCTCTTAGCTTTAATCAACAAATCTGGAAATTTATTTTCTTGAAACATATGTATTAGCACAGTTGCTTCCTTCTCATATTCAGATTTATCTGTGCAATTGTTTTAAATCTAAGTATTTGTCCTTTTAGGAATATTCTGTGACCATTGTGAAAAAAAAGTCCTCTCTTGTAAAACACATGACTATTTGCATTAACATTTTTAAAATGGTTTTGAGTTTTTCATTCTATACTCTCAACATTATGTCTATATCTAGAAAAAGTAGCTTAGGATCATCTACAGTGCTTGTACATTGTTATTAAGGAAATATAAAAAAATAAATTATTTGGTAACTTTCCATAATATTAATATATCATCAATCTAACGGTGCTAGGGAAGTAAAATTTTAGAATAAAAAGAAATAATTGGAATGCGTGTGTATTGTCTTTTTGTAGATCTCTGCAATGAAGCTGTTCAGTCTGGCTTTGAAAAACACTTTGAACCCATGGTCATTAATAATAGCCTGATCTGTGTTTCACGCTGCAGTCCAAATTCAAAAAGCTATTTAAGTTGTAATGAGGGCACCTGCCAGTTAGAAAAGGTCGCAGGAGCACATTGTCTGTGAGTATACTTTATGGTTTATAGAACAATCACTGTGTACAAAATAATGCTTCCTACTGATACAGCATTCTATTATGTTTTATGAGATATGGTGCGTTAGTATGTCAATACAGTCTCACGCAAAGACACAATGAATCCATTCTCTAATATTTGCCGCAATGCTTCTCGGCTTTAGGAATTATATGTTAACAGTTATTTGTCTGTGCCTATAATTGTGTTTCTGTGTTATGTGTTTGTTTAGTAACTTTGTATTACTCTATCTTTGTTTTGCAGTTGTCCAAAAACAGAAACATACGTATATACCTCCCAGGGGTGCCAGGGAAAGATATTAAAAGCAGGATTATACGGTGGCATTGGTGCGGGAATTGCAGCGCTTGTCATAATTATTTTTACTGTGGGTTTCTTCATGTTTCGAAAACACCATAAAAAGTAAGTATTGTTTTTGGAATTTGTTGTTTGCTTGTTCATGTTGTGTGTATGTGTGTGCTCAGTGTCTGTGCTTTGATATATATATATATATATATGTAATCTGTTATGATTTGCATCATTTATACCTTTACATTGTGTGCTGGGCTAGTTATATAACTGTTACTCTTTGTGATTTTTAGGCACACATTATTCAAAGATGATGAAAAATCTTGGTATGAAGATGAAGACAATGACAATGAATGGAGTGTTCAGCGGGGTTTCACCAACCTGAGTGACTCAGGTGAAGAAGGTATGTAAACAGCTTAAAAGCGTCATGATCCAGCTATCAAATGATGACTTTAGCCTATAAAAGTCAATTACTCTAAAATTACTGAAAACTATATATATATAAACCTTATGCTGTTTTTACTAAAACCTATTTCAGGGATAGACTCATATCTCCTTCTGTCTGTATCACTGTATCATTCTGCAGGAGTAGAGACTGACTCATAGCTCCTTCTGTTGGTGTCACCATACTAGCAGAGGGATGGATTGCTCTTTTATTGTGCCCCTGTGCAGGCATGGGAAGGACTTTTAGTAACCGTGTCTAACTAATTGTTCTTCTTTGTGCAGATTCTAAGCAAGGTTCGTTCTCTGGCAAAGAGAGTTTCCGACCAGCCCTTGAGAATGTAGATACAAACATTCAGGTATGCATGTTTTTATGAGCATTATGTCATTGCATTGTACTTTACCATCTCTGTTGGAATGACTTTTCATATTAGAATTTTAGAATTTGTACAATACATTAAATTATTAAAACTCTTTCAACTTTTTTCCCCATTTTCTCTTTTTATTATTGGCCCACTTTTTTCACTAACCTTCACATAATCTTTATTCTTGTACAGGTGAAAATACAGAGACCAGAGGTTTTGAAAGAATGATTTGTCAACAAGGACATCTACTGCCCCTTTTCTTCAATCATTGAGGTTAAGCACAACTCAGAGATGACAATCCACCAGATTAGCCAAGATACTTCCTCTATGAAGGCCTTTTCATTAGTAAAGTAAACCTGACTATCATTCAAAATGTAGTAATGATACACCACATTATGCGATAGAACAAGGAACTCCTAACCATGGCCACAGGAGGGTAGACACAAGAAAGTCACTCAAATTATTAATGTGCAACCTTGTCAATTATATTGTTTGATGTATAGGATTCGTTTTCAATTCGCTTAAAAAAAAAAAAACACAACAGAAAATATTTTTCCATTTTCTGTGACATTAACTGCAAGGCTGTTCTGGCACTCTCTGACAGTTCGTTAAAATTAATGCGTTCCCATGACTCTGTGTGCGACAACTAAATACAAACTAGGAATCATGAGAAGACTCAAGAAAAATGCACACACAAAGCTTATTCTGATGATAGCGACAAAATCACCTAAAAGAAAAGTAGAAGATAGCAAACATTTACTGATATAAGCTGTTCATTTCAATAGCGTTCACTGGGTTAAGATAAATAAAAATATAGCTGTCAAAAAGTGACAATTACTCTTTATGCTTAGCTAAACAAACTGACTTTTAGTACTAAAACGTCTAAATGACAAGCGACAATGTTTTTCTATCTTGAGAAAGACCGTAGGATATATATTTTCCTAATCCACACATTAGGCTCTAATAACTAACCCAGACCCTGTAGGAAGCCAGTCTTACAAGAAACTAAAATGTGTTGGCATTTCCAGACTTTACAAACATACACTTATAGGGATGCATATTATGGCATGTATACGCTTGCATTGTTTGATTCCGTATTAGTGGTAACGTGAAACACAAAAGCCCCTTTCTGAGTTGTGTTATCCTGAATGAATACCAGTGTCACTTTATTATCATTTATGAAAAAAAATTCTGTTAGTTAACATGTATATAATTTATTTGATTTAAATATATTTTTATATTAAATGATTTTTTTTTAAATGACTGTGAGACACTATATATAGATGGATACATATAAACTGTGAGTGGTTTATATCCTCTACATCTGCATTTCACGTAAGTTATCATACCATGTTTCTGGCGTTTCTGGCATGACATACCTTCTAGAATCCACCTGTACCCATGGTATACCCTCTATAACCCATCTGCATCTTTAGTATGGTATAGTATCCTATCATGTTTCTGTCCTGGCATACTCTCTAGAATTCTGGTGAATTTACAGTATGGCATTCCTTCCATACCTTCTCAGGTGCCCCTCTGTACCCATGCTGTGCAATCCTATTATGTTTGTGGGTTAGCGTTCAAGGTCTCGCCTTGTCCTTGGCATATCACCAATTTTAATTATTCTCTACATCCAGCACATACTAAATGCATGTTTTTGGCATAGCACATTGCATATTATTAGTATTTACCAATGGTATATTCTCAAAATATCTTAAACGGTAATTCATTATAATTATTACCAACATGGTGTATCTACTGAAATCTGGCTGTAATAAATCACTGTAATCTCAGGAGTGTCAACTGAGATGCATCAAAGACTTTCCATTTGGCATTGCGAATTTATATTGTAGTTAAATATTCCACATAGGGGCAAAGGTAAGGCATGTCCTAATACGTAACATTGTGCAAGTCTACATTCTACTACTAGATAGCTTTGGACAACAGACCCACTTCATTTTTTCTTACTATTTTATTTAGTACATTATCTCTTTTTTCTGATACAGCTTAACATGGCTTTTTGCATGAAAAGAGGATCAGTCAGTGGCTCAGTTTTCTGTCAAATGGAAATGAGTTGCACTTTGTAGTCAGGTGTGAAAAGATGAGTTCATACAGAAGGTAGCTACTAAATTGCACAGTATGTGAGCAGAAAATTAATAGCAATTCCTAAACCTTTACAGAAACAAGAAATCACATGGAAAATGGTAACACGAAATATAGGTTATTTTACTGATTTAGTCAAAAGTGTAATTTCAAAAGTGGTGATGGTTCCCCAGGTAGACTAGGGGAGAGGGGGAGATAATTCTGGTGATTACTCATAGTCATGAAAATAAGATAGCTAATAGGATAATATTGTATGTAGTCTAAAATACGTAACTGTGAATGAACAAAAATTGTGATCCGTAAAATGTCTGATGATGATAAGTCAAAATTAGAATTACACAATTATATGTAACAGGCATAAGGTAGACAGCAGGGTAAAATAAATGATTTTTTCTGGCATGTAACTTTGTGTTTTGGTGTTAGATAAAAATGACCACTAGAATCAAGCAAATGTCACTCAGTGAATGTAGGTGGCTAAACAAGACTGTTTGATCGTATATATGTGTGTGTGTGCGTTTGCATGTGTGTGTGTGTGTGTGTGTGTGTGTGTGTGTGCGTGTCTGTGCGACTGCCATTATTTTAATGTGTGGTCATGGACAATAAGCTGAGCACTTTGTGAGAAACATAAACATGAGGGTCCCACTCACACCCACAAGGGTTACATTGTGTACAGTATTTTTAAGGTGCTGTAGTTATAATGAAGAGTGGGCTTGCAGTGCTGGATACAGAGAGCTAGTCTATGTATCCAACATTCAGAGGCTTGCAGTGTCATGGCTCCCTGTGCCACTGCATTGTGAGCTCTATGACAGCAGTTATGGCATAGTTTTCAAACAAAATTAATTTGCAATGAACGAATTTAATTTGAATTTATGCTAATTGTTTATACACAATGGCGGCGTATGGTTACTAATAAGAAAACAGTCAAATTTTTTCCATCATTCTATATAATATATACATGTTGCCCCATTTATTGTATATGTATATTGTATATAGTGCCACTTTACCTTTGCATTGCCCATACCATACCACCCTCACATTGCAGCCATAGTCAAAAACACAATTATACATGCACACAAATATGGGAGGATTGGGGCTGAGATGGAGGAAATATGTGGAAAGGGGAAAAAAAGGGCTGTATGTAATCATATAAGTGGAAGGCTAAGTTAGGGCTGAATATGAGCATTCATGTGTGATAGGTTGAATAAGGGCCCAGTGTAATTATTTTGAGCTGCAGTATGGCCAAATGAGGAACCAATGAGAAGTTATGGGTAAATTATAAAAGGGGTTAAATGGGGTTTAATGAATGTTGAGGATATTTGAGTAAACTAGTCACAACACCTAGCCAGAGAATTACTAAATAACGTAGGCCCAATGAGTGCTTGAATACCCAGAGGGCAGACATAAATAGTGCTTAAAGATACTGAGGCTGGAAAAGTTGAACATAAGTAACAAATACTGACAAGTATAATCGAGGCCGGTCGGGCCGACAATAATAAGCTGCAAATATGAAAAACTGAATATGGCATAGCATATATTGTACATTAAAATGTAATGTGACTGAGTGAATTGTATTTGATAAAATATGATATGGCTGAATGAGAACTAAATGCAGTAAGCAGAATACATGAACCGATTTAAGATATCACTGTGATGCTTCATAGGATTGAAATAAGCTGAATTTGCATTAGTAGTGTAATTGTCGGATTCAAAGGGTCGAGTTTGAACTGAACTGCAAATGTCACCCTAATTAGTAAAAGGCCAAATGTGGGCAGAATACGTGGTGAATGTCAGCGCAAACAGTAACAGGAAAAGACACGTCGGAGTCTGAGAAGGCAGTGCCCCACGAGCTTTGTTTTTTACTCAAGTAAAATGAATAATAGTGTAGGCCGCACAAGGCCAAGACCAGTTTGTTTGGAGTTTAGGTTGTTAGTGTTGATGACCTTTGACCTGGAAGTAGATGGTTCTGTACTAAACCAAGCAGTATCAACCCAGAGAAAGGGGCCGGTAACCGCTCCCACAATGTTAGGGTCCGCCTATAGGCTCAGTCTTCCTGTATGTCAAAGAAAAAGGACATTTGAGATAGCAGCTTTGTAGGAAAGCTCTGAGGAGACCTGAGCAAAAAATAAAATTTTCTGCAACAAAAATGGCTAAAATTCCCTTTATTCCTGCATAATCTATATCCTAACATCTTACTCAATCATGATGACCCCTACCATCCCTGACACTCCTACCGTTATGGAGGGCCCTTTGGTGACTTTACCATCACTGTGTGTTTCTCTCCAGCAAAACCACAATGACATTTGCACTATTTTCGGAGCCCAATTGATAAAATTGCAAAAAGACGTGACAATGAAAATTTTGTTCAGACATGACGGCCAAAACTACATCATTAATTCTCAGGAAGAAGATGATGACTTTCTTGGAAGCCTTACAGCAGATTATCCTTCACCTCCAAGAACTCCAAAGAAATTGAGGCAACGGAATGTACTTGGGAATTAAAATTTCATATATTTAAAGTAACATTGTCCATTTGAGTCCTATTCCAGTTACGTTACTTTCCAGTTATTTTCTTCCTATTTGAGTTGATTAAAGATGTACTGGCTGATTTCATATTGCTTTATTAAATATACCAGGTTCCTGTTCTGTTGACAACTGACCAAAGTTCGATTTGATTTGTGTGTGTTTTTTATACACTTTGACTATTATTGCTGCTTTATTTTCTTACTGTATTTATGTAAGACATTGTTTTTTGTAAATTTTTATAGTTTTTTTTATATTTTCCATTCTTAAATTTATACTAACTTGAATCTGTCATGCAATGTTGCCAATGCGGGATATGTTTTGTGCTGCATATTTTTGTTTTACTTTTATCTTTTTTGAAAGAGGAAGTG